TGAATCGGCACTATCTACGTGGCAAGGCCCTGCTTCTTGGTGCGTACCAGGTGGACAGTCAGATAGTAGGGGCGCACCTCGAGTTGGTGGTCCCTGGACCGCGAGGAGGTCAGCGCGCCTGACGAGAGAAAATCGATCGTGCTCGATGGATGACGCAGCTGGCAGAATTCGCCAGATGGCCGAATGCTGAGTGCGAGTAGAAGCGCCCCTAGATGACCTTGGCAGCAGGTAGTCAGTGCCGTGCGCAATGGTTGAGTGTGTGCGTCACCGAACAATGGCAGTGTCCCTAAAACCGCTCCCGCGGCAGATGCGCTGGAAAAACCCGCGGGCTAGATCGGGGCTTGTTTGGCGTTAATTGTAAACGTGCACTCAGGATATGTCATTATTGGGTCTGACTTTCAGACATACGAAGACTTTGTCTTTGCTAGATATCCACATTTCCATCAAAAATATTAGTTACCGATGTCATAAATCCCAGAGTCGGTTATAAAAACAAAAGGCTGTTATTACTTAAAACCCGCGTAGATCGCCATCAGTCACAATTTGGACATATCTACTAGACAGATCATGAGACGAAGTGCGAATATTTGCAGGAGTGCAGACGTTGTTATTAAGAATATGCGTGTGATAGTGGAGGAATTTCAGCCTCTGCATACTTCACCCTCTGTTGGCCCACAAATCCAATCTGTTACCGTCCTTGTTCGAAAATGGACTTGAAACTTCTAGTGAACATTAATTTCGCCTTAGTGATCGAGTGATTTTCCTCACAGTAAGATAACACTGTTAAGGAAGTTAAATTTCTGAAAATTAAGTGGGTTCGGTCTCGGAAGTTGTGCCTAATAGAAACCGCAGTCTTCTGTATTCTCATGTGATTACCTCCGACAAAGAAGGCATTATTATTTAGTCATTGTAAGTATCGGTAATTTGCGATCAGAAATCTTTTTACATTTAACGTGAAACAAATGCGACGGAGTTGTGATTAACAAGGAAAAACGCCAGTCCAAGGCTAAATTAGTGCGGATTCGTCAATCTGTATTAGTGTTCCACGGAACATTGGTTCAAGATGCCCAGTCAAGTTCGAATTCACTGAATGATCACGTCCAATACGAGTGTCTAACGTATTTAATGGTTTAATTTTTTCAACTGTGCGTGTTGGTATATTCGCATAAATTAGAGATGCATAATTCAGGACAGCAAACCAAGGGGGAGGAAGAGAAGATGCGGAAAATGAAATAATGATTTCTGATTTTAGAACGCTTGTTCATAGAAATGGTGAACACACACACTGAATTTTAAATTAGGCACAGTTATTTACAGGTGCTAGCCTGCAAGTCGGTCCACGATGAAGTCGACGAACTGCGTAAGGAGTGGATTTACCTATGTTAAAATTCTTCCTGGCGGAATGTGCATTAAAAAAACAAACTTCTTTTATTAACCTCCTACACTGTTATAATATAGAAACAGTCTGACATCCGGCGATCGGACAGAGATATGTGCATCCCTGTGGGGCATTTAGAGAGGGAAATTTGTGCTATAAAATATCTAAAAGGCAGACAGCCCACATGTACACGGATATGTTCACAGGCCATTCAAGGATTGTGAATTAACACGAATCGAGTGCGCGCTTTCGATTGCAGGGTGTTTGACACGGCCAAGTGCTCAGAGGGCTAAACAAGATACTGCCGGCTATGTCGATGATAGATAGGTGGATATTTCTCATTGGTAGTGAA